GGTGAATGGCTCTTTTCTGGATAGAATCCAGCAGCTTCAGGGTATGCTTAGGGGCGGAGCTACATACATGAGGACAAAACTCCAAAGAAGGTCTGATCTGAGATTTAAAGCATCGAAAGTTGCTGAGGTGTGTACAGTTTTCTGGTTCGGAACAGTGTTCCAAGCTTTTGACAAGCAGCTTTTGCACTTCCAGTGACATGATTGTGCCAAGACATATTTCCTAGCCATAGTTCAAGTCGAATAGACCTACTCACTTGTGACCTAACTTAACCTAACCTAACCTATTTACTCATATATACAGGGTGTAACTGAATAAGTGTAAAACATTCAAGGAGGTGATTCCTCATCGAAAAAAAGATAGGATCTTTCATATAAAGACATTTCATTGGAGCATCCCTTGTTAAGATACAGTCCCTTAAAGGGGGTACATAAAATTTGTATAACAATTTTTTTCACAAGCACTAAAAAAGTTACAATATTGAAATTAACCTCACGTTTTGTACTACCAAAAAGACACTTAGGCACAAATTTATTTGTTTCACCCCATGGTTGTAAGGGGTAGAAAACGCAACCCCTAAAATTTATTTCCAATGTAACTTTTTGTCTTATCATTTGTTTACCATTTGAAAATTTATTTCCGATAGCCTGTTTCATTCTAAACAAAAAATGCCTCTTGGGTTTTTTGCCCAAAATAAACCAGTTCGCAGCAAAAAAATATTTTATGAACAACTACTATGACTCTTCAGCCAATTATAAAACTCGGTTAATTTAATTATCCAATACGAATCGCCAATTCTTCAGTCCACGTGGACTAATTCGTAGCGGCATTATTTCTTTGTTTTCGTTTTTTTTTGGCCGTTGACTTCTCCGATAGCTTTGAGAAATACTATATCGGTTACTTCGACTATATAAAATGACGTTCTACTCAGATTTTGCAAAAACAAACATTGTATTTGAATAACCTGTCACGATTAGTTGTGAAAATTTCAATACGACTTGCCATTTCTGTGATATCAACTAGTTATAACTCAATTATATTCGCCGCTTCATTAAATCTAACGTAATCCAAAGATTTACTTTCTTTCTTATAACTAACAAGTCCTTATAATTTTTGGCAAATTAGTTTTTGACCATTTCCTGTGATTAGATTCAGTAACCGTTGAAAATGAATTCATTATTACTAGTATTATTATTACTACTAGCAAACGGCATTTAAACTAAGTTCCGCCTCTAACTTTTCTGGTCTCTGGACCTAATCCATAGTATTAATTTAATATCGATCAAATCAAGGCTTTGATCGACAATATAGAATACATCGATAGCGACATCAATAATGTTCAACAATTTGGTTACATTTTTATCATTTTATCAGTTGATTCAAAATTGTGTCTGCCCCATTCTCATATAATTAAGCTATGAAGTGATATTCAGCTGTAAATATTATATCGGATAGGTACTTTACATTAATTTTTTCATTTGCCTTCTGAATTTATCATGGAAAACAAAGGAAATGAAAAGTCTATTCTTCTTCGAGACGGAATATATAATCGACTCTAGTTAAATTAATTACAGTTCAATGACTATATATGGCTATCAGAAACACGCGCTAAAATTACACAACTGCAAACGGATAATGAATTTATCGATTGCCGTAATTATTAATCTGGTTTGAACTGAATTGAATGAGAACAGTTCAACAGTTATCTAATTGAATTTTTTACCAATGTCTGTCACTGATAAGATATTTGCAAAAGTCAGAAACCTCAACCTTTTCGATAAAAAAAGACGTAACTCGAAATATTTAAAACATTCACTTGATTCATTATTCAAATATTCTAATCCATTACTTAATGAAAATCAATAATAGTATCCATGATGATACTTGAAGAATTTTACCAATGAATTTTATTTGAAATGCGTTTCGCAACACGGAAGCTTCATCAGTTGAAATGGTACCAGCACCAAACTCTTCTATAGTGTCTTTTATATAACAGTTGGTATCGACAAAACTTAATACATAAATGATCAATTCTGACAGAACAGATAGACAGAAGAACAACAATTACTTCTATAAAAATAGTTAATTTGTAAATCTATAATTACTGACTGTTGATGAAATGAATGAAAACACTTTTGTCTAATTTCCATTAGTTTTACAACCGGTTTCGGGTTTTACCCCATTATCATGAAACGAATTTAAACTTTTTTTCAATGATCTCTCGAAATTTACCTGTTTTGCCAGAATTAATCGTATATATATCTAATCAGGTTCTGAAATAAAATGCCAATTTTGCTGATCTCTGATACCCGATATTTTCTTCGTCGGTTTGAAGACGGTTTTGAATTCCTCCTTTAGAATATTCCCGATTCAGTTGGTGACACCTTCTATGTAAGGCAGATAGACAGTTGCTCTACACTGGTGTTCCTCTTCTTCTTCCTTGGACGCATAATGTGGATTATGTCTTTTCTGTCGTAGCCGTTCGCGTGGTACACAGATGTTAGATATTCTATTTCGTCGTCGACGTAGACCTTTCTTCACATATTCTTAAAGCTACGTTCACTAAGCTGTTGATGGCTGTTCGTTTCTGTTCTGGATGATGGGGTTAGATCCAGTATGTAGGTATCGATCTGTGTGTGTTTTCTTCCTGTACACCTTATGATCTAGTTGATTACCTTCCTTGATGACTTGAAGATGATTTAGAAAGTTATAAAGATGATGCGAAGGTGTCATCATTATACCTCAGCCAGTGTTTCGGTCTCTTCCTGAAGTTTGTATGGCTCTTTCTTCAAATTTTTCCATGTAGAAAATCGCCACTACTTGGCTAAGTGGACTGACCATGGCATAACCCGGCAAAACCCGGAAACCAACCAAAAGAGTTTGTGGAATAATTCGAAATTTCAGTCGAACTGATGAAGCGCTTTTTCATTATTGATGTATTCATTCTTTCATATGCTTTCAACTGTCCAGTAGAAGTAGCTCTCTGAAATTATAGAATTCAAATTGTTAGTGATATCTCTTTTAGAGTCAATGTGTGTCAGATCGAAACAAGTAATACCTACTATAAATACGCTTTGATAAATATTTCAATTACACAAAACAGATCGAACAAAGCAAATTAGAAATTTCAATATCGTGCTTACTTTTATCCAGAACTGAATTATGTTTGATTCCCATAATCCAATGAGGATTAGCATTATACGTGTTGAGCCGATATATGTTTATGGAACCGATAAATCAATTGATAGGAAGATAGATTTCCTAATTCAGGGGAATTTGTGATACTAATTTCAAATCTGCCATAATTCAACCAATATTATAATACTGACTACTAAATTTAGAATCTAGGCGAGTTCTATTTACACTCGAATTAACTTTATAAGTGTAGCAGAACATAGGTGGACTTTTGTTTACATTGAAAGGGTTATATTTTTAGGTTATATCCATTTCTTGTTATTTTGAAAAATGTGTTCCAGAGAAAATGAAAACAAGATTTTGATCAAATTGCAAATTTTTAGAAAGGTACAAAACTAGAGACTATATTGTATTTCTTTTTCCATCAACTGTTGCTCTTTTATCTTTTCCGTAATCCCCGTAGTGATGTTCACATTCTGAATTATCACAGTTTTGCTGGGCTTGACAGACATCTGCACCTCAGGCACCAATTGTGAACAACTTGGAGGATATAACAAGCTACCCTTCCCGAAGTGGACCTCGCCAAGATGACAAGGTCATCTGAATAAGCTTTTGCAGATCTATAGTAAAACCAATAATGATTGAGAGTAAAGCGCGTTGTCATATCTAAATTTTACGTTACCAGTTTATAGCAGAATCCAAATATAGTAAGCAGTAGAGTTGTAGGTTGTGGCAAATTATAGATAATACACAATACTAGTACGATTAAAAGGTATTATTTATGACAAAAATCAGTAATGAGCTTGTAATGAGTAATACTTATACATTTCCTGATTACTGATCAGTTAAAATTCATTATTTTCTGTATAGTGTTAGATATTTATTACAACTAGTGGCAACGC